TGTTTGTACAAAATGAAATCTTTAGGGAACCAGATACAATAAGAATTCCAGAGAACAACATAGAACACACAGAGGTGTCTAGAGACGAAGTGGAAAAAATGCTCAAGGAGCTCGGTAAGAACAAAGCAGCTGGCCCAGATGGCGTTTCACCATGGGTTCTGAGAGAATGTGCATCTGAGCTCAGCATTCCACTTCACCTGATCTTTCAGGCATCCCTGTGTACAGGAATCGTAGCAGACGGGTGGAAACAGGCTAACATAGTTCCAATCTACAAAAGTGGCAGCAGGGAAGACCCCCTCAATTATAGACCTGTATCATTGACAAGTGTAATAGTGAAAGTATTGGAAAAACTAATCAAAACTAAATGGGTAGAACACCTAGAGAGAAATGATATAATATCAGACAGACAGTATGGTTTTCGATCTGGAAGATCCTGTGTATCGAATTTACTCAGTTTCTATGATCGAGCCACAGAGATATTACAGGAAAGAGATGGTTGGGTTGACTGCATCTATCTGGACCTAAAAAAGGCTTTCGACAGAGTTCCACATAAGAGGTTGTTCTGGAAACTGGAAAATATTGGAGGGGTGACAGGTAAGCTTCTATCATGGATGAAAAATTTTCTGACTGATAGAAAAATGAGGGCAGTAATCAGAGGCAATGTATCAGAATGGAGAAATGTCACAAGTGGAGTACCACAGGGTTCAGTTCTTGCACCAGTGATGTTTATTGTGTACATAAATGATCTACCAGTTGGTATACAGAATTATATGAACATGTTTGCTGATGATGCTAAGATAATAGAAGGATAAGAAATTTAGATGACTGTCATGCCCTTCAAGAAGACCTGGACAAAATAAGTATATGGAGCACCACTTGGCAAATGGAATTTAATGTTAATAAATGTCATGTTATGGAATGTGGAATAGGAGAACATAGACCCCACACAACCTATATATTATGTGAGAAATCTTTAAAGAATTCTGATAAAGAAAGAGATCTAGGAGTGGTTCTAGATAGAAAACTATCACCTGAGGACCACATAAAGAATATTGTGCAAGGAGCCTATGCTATGCTTTCTAACTTCAGAATTGCATTTAAATACATGGATGGCGAGCATTCCGAGGTACCACTGTATTTTCAAAACATTTCTGCCAGATCTTACTGATGCTAGGGAGGTGAGAAATTAGTGAAATCCTTAAAAAGCCGTATGAGGACATGTTTAGCACTCCAATAAACAACATGAAAGTGGAAGATCCAGACAATTTCTTTATGCGGGATATTCAAACCCCTGTAAATATAACTGATATCAACACGAGCGCACTAAATTTTGAAAGAGAAATTGAAAACATGCCCATGCACTCGGCCCCAGGTCCAGACTCATGGAATTCAATATTTATAAAGAAATGCAAAGTGCCGGTAGCACAGGCATTCAGTATAGTGTGGAGGAAGAGCTTGGACACGGGGGAGATACCAGGTGCACTTAAAGTAGCAGACATAGCGCCTCTACACAAGGGAGGGAGCAAAGCATTGGCAAAGAATTATAGACCAGTTGCACTAACATCGCACATCATAAAAGTATTTGAGAGAGTGATTAGGAGTCAGGTCACCAATTTCATGGAGACCAATGACCTTCACAACCCAGGCCAACATGGATTTCGAGCAGGAAGATCGTGCCTCTCACAGCTACTTGAGCACTACGACAAAGTCACTGAGGCATTAGAAGAAAAACAGAATGCTGATGTGATATACACGGACTTCGCAAAGGCTTTCGATAAATGTGACCATGGCGTGATAGCACACAAAATGAAGTCAATGGGAATAACCGGTAAAGTAGGACGCTGGATACTCAGTTTTCTGTCAAACAGGACTCGGCAAGTAACGGTCAACCATATAAAATCTAGTCCAAGTGCAGTTAAAAGCTCTGTACCTTAGGGTACAGTCCTTGCACCGCTGTTTTTCCTTATTCTTATATCAGATATAGAGAAAAATACAAGTCACAGCTTTGTATCATCCTTTGCAGATGACACAAAAATCAGTATGAAAATTATCTCGGCTGAAGACATTGAAAACCTTCAAGCTGACATTAATAAAGTTTTCGACTGGGCATCAGAAAATAACATGTTTAACAGTGATAAATTCCAGGTACTCAGGTACGGTAAAAATGAGGACCTTAAACATAATACAGAGTACAAAACACAATCAAATGTACCCATAGTAGGAAAACAGCATGTAAAGGATTTGGGAATAATAATGTCTGACGACCTAACGTTTAAGGAGCATAACCAAGCAAATATTGCGACAGCCAGAAAAATGATAGGATGGATTACGAGAACTTTCAAATCCAGGGATCCCATCACAATGGTTGTACTCTTCAAGTCACTTGTGTTGTCCCGTCTTGAGTACTGCTCAGTACTCACTCACCCCCTTCAGAGCAGGAGAGATTGCTGAAATAGAGGGAATACTGTACAGAGAACATATACGGCACGCATAGACGAGATAAAGCACCTAAATTATTGGGATCGTCTCAAAGCCCTCCAAATGTACTCACTAGAAAGAAAACGAGAGAGATATCAAATAATATACACCTGGAAGATACTGGAGGGCCAAGTACCAAATCTACACAGTTAAATAACAACGTACTGGAGTGAACGATATGGAAGAAAATACAGAATAGAACCAGTGAAGAGCAGGGGTGCCATAAGCACAATCAGAGAACACTGTATAAACATCAGAGATCCGCGGTTGTTCAACACCCTCCCAGCAAGCATAAGAAATATTGCCAGAACAACCTTGGACATCTTCAAGAGGAAACTAGATTTATTCCTCCAAGGAGTGCCGGACCAACCGGGCTGTGGTGGGTATGTGACCCTGCGGGCCGCTCCAAGCAACAGCCTAGTGGACCAAACTCTCACAAGTCAAGCCTGGCCTCGGGCCGGGCTTGGGGAGAAGAAGAACTCCCAGAACCCCATCAACCAGGTATCAACCAGGTACTAGAGAAGAGTTCCAGCCAGCCTGAATTGACCACAGAAAATATAATCAATAAACAGGAAAGTATTTTCGGGCCCTACTTATTATCGCAAGAGAGTCAGGTAGTGCCGTGACACATGCTAGTTGGCCAACTGGCTGTCTCCGCTGACTGCCACTGGATGGCACCACTCAAGCCAACACTAAACTCAAGGCCAAGCTCAAGTCATATGTCCTGACTATTAACTGTGATGGTTTTTGACAGGCTGGAGACCATGTTCAGTTAATACTTGTTATTACCCTTAGAAAATGTAGTTTCATGTACAGTGTGTTCATGTGATGTGTTGATAAGGGTTTGTCTCTTGTGTTGTGACCTAATTGACTGATAAATCAGAGTTCACATCTGGGCTTTGATTCAGTTCATGTTTCAGCATCGGGCTTCATGCTTCAGCAGTGGGCTCCTTCCCTCAAGGTTTCTCACTACGTTCATGGATCTTAGCTTCTTGGTTGCAGGATTGTGCTGGAAATTCCTTGAGGATAATCAGTTAATAACAACCCTTGCATATGCCATGAAAGAGAAGATGGTTTAGATCCATTCTGGACCCTTATCTCCGTGACTGAGGAACAGTGGCAAAGGGTATCATTATAAGGCAAGAGGGAAGGTGAAGTGAAAAATGGTGAGGGGTTAATGGAGATGTAAAGTACGAAAACAAAGCTTATCATTTCATATGTGTTGATCGAGTTGTTTTCAGTCACATTATTGTGACTTCATCTCTGCATCTAGATAGTCAGTTAGCTCGGTTGAAGGTGAGCATTTTTTACTCCGTCATCAGGTTTTAACTTGGCAAAATTGTTTGATTATACAGCAGTACATTATTTGTTTATTTGATTTAGTTATGTGGTACACTCTCCATTTCTTGTCTTGCAGTTTGACAGCTCTGGTGACCTGTTACTGGCTACATCCAGTTGTTTGCCACAGTGCAAACCAGTGGATGAAAACCAAACCAGTGGCACTGGTTTGCCACCAGTGCCTTGGTGTATTAGATTGGGGGATCAGCAGCTGCCGAATAGCACAGTTAGGCCGAGTGCTGTACTCGGTTCTCTGACTCTTACAGTCACTCCTCCTACCTCCTCCTACCTGAGGGTGGATCACGACCACCCTCAGGTATGTGTTCAGTCTTCCACATGTGAGGTTTTGACTTTCTTTAAACTTTTGTCTTGGTAGTCCATTTATGTCACGGCTGCTTCAGAAACATGTGCTTAAATGATAGCATTCTTAGCAGGTGTATCATAGAACACAGAATGCAGGTGGAAGACCAAACAAGATTTTACGAATTTCCTCGTCCAGAAGTGTGCGAAGCTAGTTGATAATTTTATCCTTGTCCTAAGAGACGACAGTGAAAAGCATTGGATTAACCTATGATTTAACTTAGGGTGCATGGAAGCAAAGCATGAGGGCATGGAAAATCTATAGGAGCAAAAGAAAGAAAGCATAGTCATATCAAAGGGCCATAGGTATCGTGTCAGATCTCTGTTGATTTCTTACTCCTGAATATTTCTGATGTCCACCAGAAGAAAATCTTGGGAACCCGCCAGTGTACCATCATCTAAGGACCAGATGTTAAGCTCGCTAGACACACTTTCGGTGACATTAACTTGCAGAAAAGGAGAGGAGCTAGGGGATCCTCCTGGACACTCTCATGTGGGTTAATTTCATGAATTAATTAGTAGTTTAACTACTAATTAGTAGCTTCACGTTCTCGGTGTAGCAAGTGTGTCAGAATGGAAGGAGAAGAGAGAAGTGATAATGAACTGCATGAAGTACTGCTCCCTTGTGACAAAGCTGTTCTACGAGATATTCAGTGAGCTTGCCCAACCATATTAAACACTACAGTATCATGTTGTGAAAGGAGCTTTTCATGTATTCTCAAAAACCTTAAATGCATCATTTTTTTTTTTTTTTTGTGTGTGTGTGCATGTTAAATTGTTGTTATATAGTTATTTCATATTTTAATAGCTTGAATATATTTTAGGTGAATGCTGGAGTGAGGTGTTTGAACAAGCACACAAGGACACTAAATTAAAAGGAGTTGTATTGCATCAAACTCTCAGAAGTCTAAATCTCCGTTATTGTTTAGCAATCAGGGAGAAGGTCAGTTATTTAATTACATTTTGTCTTGATTTTTTTTTAATTTGGAGCACACTCAAAATTTCAAATCTTTACATATTAAATTTACATGATTTGATAAAACATACTTCTGTGTCCCTCTTTATTGCTGATGTCTTTGTCCTGCCTTTTAAGGGACCATTAACAACAGGAAAGCCTTCAAGTAGCTATTCTTTTGCACTTACATTATGAGGCCTTCTCTGCATACAGTATTTCATTGCCTTTATATAATATTGACTGTCTATCCATCCCTAATGTTGTTGTAAAATTGTATTGCCTACTTTCTTGAGTTTTATCACATGCTGCTCTTATCAGCACTATTTATCACATGCTGCTCTTATCAGCACTATTTATCACATGCTGCTCGTATCAGCACTATTCATAATCTTGCCACACACACACACGCCTACTGTTTTCATTTTACCGTACAGTCATTAGCATCATAAAAACACTTCAATCACCCTCTGTGGTTGAATGCTCAACTACTCAATATGTACTATGGCAGCTCTCTGAATCTATGTAGGACAAATGAACAATTATATATATATATGCTGGTTAGTATTGTATAAATGTTTGGCCATGTCTGTGGTAAAAACAAAATAAAAAATAATTGTCAACTCTTGAGCTGCATGAAATTTAGTCAACACAGAACTACAGCTACAAAAGTTTGAGATTTGGTACCTAAACCAAACTAAAGTTTGGTAGTTTAGTTTTGTAGAGCATATTGCACAAATCATTGAGATTGTCATTGCTGGTAGGGAAGCTGTCATTCAGTTATAATTTTCCTTGTTTTCCCACCTCTCACCTCAGTTTGATGGGCATTGCTCAGGTGTGGACGAGGTTTAGTCTAAAATGGTAAAGGAACTGGCAGATGAACTCTGTCTACCACTACAGCTTCTTTTGTAAGGATCTTACCACCAGTAAGACACCAGCATCACCTCCAAACAACACAATGAAGGGCAGAGAAGGAAAAGGTGGATTCCCGAGTTTGTGACACTTTCTTTGTCGGAAAAGACCACAGAAATGATGCCAGTCTTCTCCTCCTCTGCTCAGTATTGCTATTTGTGATGTACTCGCCTAGTTGTGTTTGCGGGGGTTTGAGCTCTGGCTCTTTGGTCCCGCCTCTCAACTCAATCAACTGGTATACAGATTCCTGAGCCTACTGGGCTCTTATCATATCTACATTTGAAACTGTGTATGGAGTAAGCCTCCACCACATCACTGCCTAATGCATTCCACCTGTTAACTACTGACACTAAAAAGTTCTTTCTTATATCCCTGTGGCTCATTTGAGTACTCGGTTTCCACCTGTGTCCCCTTGTTCACATACCACCCGTGTTAAACAGTTTATTGACCCTGTCAATTCCTCTGAGAATTTTGTAGGTAATAATAATGTCTCCCCTAACTCTTCTGTCTTCCAGTGTTGTGAGGTTCAGTTCGAGTAATCTTTCCTCGTAGCTCATTCCTCTCGGCTCGGGGACTAGCCTGGTGTCATACACCTGATGCTCCCGGACGCAGGTTCGAATCCTTGTCACGGCCCTTGTGCATTTGTTCACCTGAACCTTTTCTAACTTCGTTTTGTGATTGATGTGTTGGCCAGGAGTGAAGCATGACTGACTACATGTGTCTTAAGTTTGAGTTGACCATTATGTCTTAGGGGATTTGGTCATTTGTAATATTCTGACTGGCACTGTGGTATTTCCTTCTCCCTTGAGGGTTGAGCCATCTGGTTGCAGATGAGCCAAAATGTTTATATTATGAGACTGTTTTAATTTCAAAGAATGGTTCACTATGGTAATGGGTTAATTGGTTATCCCTGCACAGGTGAGGAGTCACAATAACGTGGCTGAAAAATGTTGACCAAACCACACACTAGAAAGTGAAGGGATGACGACGTTTCGGTCCGTCCTGGACCATGCTCAAGTCGACTGTGAGAATGGTCCAGGTTCTCGACTTGAGAATGGTCCACAATCGACTTGAGAATGGTCCAGGACGGACCGAAATGTCGTCTTCCCTTCACTTTCTAGTGTGTGGTTTGGTCAACATTTATCCCTTCCTTGTGGGGAGGTGGAGAGGACACGTCAGTGTAAAATGCCACTTGCTCCCATTGGGCCAAAAATTTCTTAGGAGCTGATGTTTCTGCCATCACACAAAGGTGTCAGTGCCATACATTACTGGTGTTACTGCTCTCCCTCCCAGACAGGAACATTTCACTGCTGTACACTGAAGGTTTTATATTTGCCCGCAGACAGGAGTATCAGTGTCAAACTGTCCTGGATTTGATCCTCTGGGACCAGGTGACTCCATTTGGAATGATCTGAAACTGGATGGCGAGTTGGACTCCAGCGACGTACCATTAACCAAAACAAGTACGCTCGTGAATTGTAAAATATTTGTCCTAGAACAGATGTGTTATATTAGTGCTAATAATAATAATTTATTAGTATTAATAATATAAATTTTATTAGTGCTAATAAACTCAATTTTGAGTTATTTTACAGTATAGAACATAAAGGTATGACTATGTGTAATGTAATAATAGGGCAAATTGTATTTTACAATGGGATGTTTGTGTATAGGAATATGAAAGGTGCACCTCATAAGAAGTGATCACAGTAACACTATACAAGGGGCTGTGTGTTATTAGTGTGTGACAGAAAGATTTACTGGCTGTGCTTTAACCGGAGAATTCCTGTTACTGGTTCAGGAGTCCATAAATAATAATAATATATAAATAAAACAATTTTTATTCAGGAAAAGTACATACATAGTTGATTTACAAACATAATGTTGGATTTATAGATAGAGCTAGTACATACAATGCCTAAAGGCACTAATACGCATAGCGTTTCGGGCAATCGACCCTGTCTATTGTATGTATGCCTATCTATTGTCTAATATGAAATGGGAGCACTCTTAAGGGGCTTTCAAACATACAACATACAATCAGGACAAGAAAAAGACTGTTATGTGTAGATTACAAAATAGCAGTTGTGTTTTGGATTAAAATTGCCTCATTCACTTGCCTGGCACAGCCAGGGGTCGTGCTTCTCTACTGTGCCCACTTTAACCACTGCACTGCGCAAAGCGCCTTTAGATGCTCTCAGAGTTTTTTTTTGTTAATTAGGTTATATTTTAATGTATTTTTTGTAATGTTTTCATTACTCATTGTGATTTTAAATGGAAATAGTTGAGTTTGGAAACATTTTGACATTAACTTTACCTAAATATATATAAAAAACAACTTTAATATGCCCTTGACAACTGCACTAAGAAGTTTTTGCCAAAAACACGTGCACAGTGCAGTGGTTAAGCTTCACTTTTTTAGATTGTGTTGGCAGTTATTTGAACATTTTGTTCCATGTGGGGCTGTTGTTTTGTTCAATTTCTCATTATATGTATGTTTTGTTCCCCCTACCTTGCATGTTTACATTTTGGTCCGGCTGCGTGTCAGGGTTGTCGTCCTTGGTAGATGGCTGGCACCTTTCTTGCCCTCACCAGAGTTATCTTCTCTGAGACGTTTGAGCTTTCTTCTCTGTGAATTAATTCCTCTCAAGTCATCTCGTTTCCAGGTAGTGTGTGGATTTGTTTTCCACTGTAAGTTCTATTGATGTGAAGTGTTCAGCTGAGATTTTTCCTATGCCTGGCTTTGCTACTTGTCAGTGGATGATCCAGGTATCCAGTGTCCATTGCAATTGGGAGAATTTGTTTTAGGTTCACATGTATGCGTGGGCTGTTATGGCTTTCTCACCCATCTTCCACCTGACACTACTGTGTGCAGCATTCCCAAGTGCGAGGCTGTGTTCTTTGACCCCGATGGTCACTCTCTTAATGCTTTCCTCACTCTGCCAGTTGGGTTCAGGAGTCCTTTTTATCCTCGTGTGTGTGCCGTTTGTTGGTGCTTGACCTCTGTTCTGACTGAGCTATCCTCTCGGACAGTGGCTTATCGGGCTGCAGATTTGTTCTCTGCTGTTCCGCTCCTGCTGCCCCTGACTGAGCAGCCAGGTTGCATGGAAGCCGGTCTTCAGTTGTTTTATTAAGAGGATGTTGTCCACTTTGTTTTGGACACCTGTGCCAAGTTTATTCAGGTTCAGTCACCTCTGCATTGATATTTGAGCAGCAAGTTTTCTGGCATTGATTTTTTCAGATTTCCGGCCTCCTTCATTGGTTATCGATGTGGTTGATTTAAAGGCGCGCACACAGTTGACATGGCAGAAGTTGTCTGCTGTATTGCACATGTCTTTCCAGCAGTTGCTGTTTAGCAATGAACCCCCTCTTCTTATACCTTATGATCTATTGCCACAGCCACGGTTGCTGCCTCTACACTGTTTGTTCTGCTCTTGCATGATGCAGTTATATTTATATTTGACTTGCAGTGTCTGTCAGGGCATATAAAATATTCTTGTGAAAAGTCTTTCTTGCTTTTGTCCTCCATTCTCATCAGTGTTTGATGGACAAGATCTCCTTTCTCTAGCTATGCAAGATTTTGGCCATCTGCAGTCAGACCTTATCAACTCGTATGAAATTAGTCACCTCCTGTGTGTGGTATCATCTTCAGATTACAACACTTTTGTTTAAGTTGGAAACATTTACAGTTTTCCTTTTGGCTCTATTGTGGCCACTTGGAAAAAGGTTTCTCTGGGGACTGGAGTTACTCGGAGCCTGGCAGTGTGTGTGTCCTAATGAGTCAAGTGCATTAGGCTAAGTTAAGCTACCAAGGTAAAACTTGGAAAGGGACATTTCATTTCATATGGTGGTAATTTTTTGTTTTTGTTTGGGAAATTGTCTAAACAATAATGGCCTAGTTTCAGTGAATCTCTGCCCCCATTCCCCCCCCCACCCCCCCCACACACACAATGTATACACGTTTGTAAAAACCCCGGCTGGGACAATCTGACTAATTCCTTTGGTAATATGCTAATAGGTAGACTATGTAAAATTGTGGTGTTGAGCTTTATATGTATAGTATAGGTTTTGTTTATTGCTTTACGTGAAAGTGATTTTAATTTCCCTGTGCTTCATAGGAAAGGGCGAAGAAAGAGCAGTTGCTGTTTGTGGAAAATGTAGTATTAGTGGAAATAGTTCAGGCATGGTAGAAATGGTCCTGGTCTGGGACATGCCTCAAATTGTTTTCAAGAGCAGAGAAGTAACTCATACCAGGTAAGAATAGATGCTAATATACATGATTATTTCATATTATATAATTAATGCAGTATTGAAACTGGTGAAGTATAATGTTCGCTGCATCTAAAATAAAGGAGTGTTTCTGAAGCTGAAATAGTTGGATGCTGATCCTTTATGGCTTTATTGTCCGATTGTTCACGGTAAGATAATTTAGAGCTTATTTGATCCTACTTATTAAAATTGTATTCTTCTTGGTTGGGAATTTTAAAATTGCTAAAAACTTATACAGTAGATTTAAATAAGGTCTGCCCACTTAAAATAATCTGTTCTTTGTTTATATAAGGCTTCAAATCAAATTAAAAAGCTCCTTATTCAACAGAATCGCTCGGTTGCTTTCTAAACTAAGATCATACACAGTCAGGCAGGACGACATACTGGCATTGATGTTCTAGATAATTTTCAGTCATTCTTGTAGGGCTCATTTTAGATGCTAGGGAGTTTCTAGAGAATATTCACTCCAGCCAGGATGACTGACAAAGGTCATTGCATGAAGATTCAAACTCCTTCTGAACCCTATGTTGGCATTACAGATGCATAAACTGATTGCCTGAACTACCCACCAGAGAACTTGGTTGATACAGCAAACCATATACAGTGGAACCTCTATTAACGAGTTTAATCCGTTCTGGCACCGAGCTCGTTACCTGGAAAACTCGTCTTAAGAAACAAATTTCCCCATTTAAAATAAAGGAAATAAATTTAATCCGTTCCACTCCCAAAAACATCCATACTTGTATGACTTTTTTTATGTAAATATAATACTGCACATGCAAATATAAATATTTTGTTGTAGTGTTTTAATATTTACTTTACCTTATGAAGAGTAGTTGCTGGCTTGAGGGAGACGATGGAGAGGTGGGAAGGAGGAGAGGGGTTATGGTGTGGAAGGAGAATCCACCTCTGAGTCAGGCGGACTCTCTCTTCTTGGGAATTTCACCCAAATTTCATTTCAAATGTCACACAAGGATGCGTTAGACCAGCACCAAATAAAAAACTACGTCGATTACACTCGTTGTGTCAACAATATAATAGTCTTACCACGAAGCTACAATACAATGCCGTTTTCTCAAATAGGCAATGTGGTTATTAAAGAAAACGGAAATTTCATGGCAAACATGTATACAATCCCCAAGACGATCGGATAAGAATTGGATTTTATAGAAATATTTGCTCAAATGACACTTGAGTGCGGTGTTTGGGTGCATTCAAGAGAAAAAAGTGTGTCACGTTCAAGCGACATATACCTGCGAAAGTGATAACACTTTCATAAAGTGTTATCACAAAGTGATAAATTAATTAACCATTTTCACACACCGGGTTGTCACTGCTTTATCAGGGCAGCTTTTCCAAGAATGCGTTCACCTTTTCAAACATTCCAAACACTTCCCTGAATTCAGTGGAAGAGGCAGCATCCTCCCTTACCTCCTCATTCCCTTACTAATGGTGTAAATTGTTGATGAGACCTGCCATACTCTCTTGTGAGATCAGTCACACAGACACCACACTCATGCTTTGCTATAATTTCCTTCTTCAAATCCACAGTAATTGTGTCTTTCTTCCTCTTGACAACACTATCTTTAGCAAGCAGCTTCTTTGGAGACATCATGTGTTACAAATTGTAGTCGCAAAACCACTAAAAACCCAAAGAAAAGCTCAAATAAATCCAGAGGGATGCTTGTCGTGTGCGATACAACAACAACACTGGCGTCGGAGGCGTCCGAGAATTTGCGAGAACCCGCGAGATGCTAGGAAACACCATGTGGTTTTGCTCGTTAATAGAGGCGAGCTTGTCAATAGAGACAAATTTGCTGCGAGTGGCTTGCTCGTTACTGGAAAAACTCGTTAATAGAGCCACTCGTTAATCGAGGTTCCACTGTACTGTAGTTCACCAGCCCTCTTACCCGTGACCAGAGCTAATACTGTACTGTACTGTAGTTCACCAGCCCTCTTACCCATGACCAGAGCTAATACTGTACTGTACTGTAGTTCACTAGCCCTCTTACCCGTGACCAGAGCTAATACTGTACTGTACTGTAGTTCACCAGCCCTCTTACCCATGACCAGAGCTAATACTGTACTGTACTGTAGTTCACTAGCCCTCTTACCTGTGACCAGAGCTAATACTGTACTGTACTGTAGTTCACCAGCCCTCTTACCTGTGACCAGAGCTAATACTGTACTGTACTGTAGTTCACCAGCCCTCTTACCTGTGACCAGAGCTAATACTGTACTGTACTGTAGTTCACTAGCCCTCTTACCTGTGACCAGAGCTAATACTGTACTGTACTGTAGTTCACCAGCCCTCTTACCTGTGACCAGAGCTAATACTGTACTGTACTGTAGTTCACCAGCCCTCTTACCTGTGACCAGAGCTAACGAAAAGAGAACCTTCTATGTCACGTCCTTGAATGGAGAAGACAGACTTGAGGTTATTACAAGAAGCTGAGAATAAATCCACAAGGGCCGTGAGGAGGGTTCAAACTTACGTCCAGGATGATCCCAGACGCGCCTTAATCGACTGCGCCACGACATGGATAAGAATTGCATGGATAAGAAGTCGAGCACAACATCCAGGGACCAAGCAGGCTCTGGAGGAGGACCGACTGGGCACAGGTTCAAGAATGTCAGAGTTAACTTCAGGAGTGGAGAAGCAAAGTCAATCCTTGAACCCAAAAATAGAGGCTGAGAAAGCGACACCTATATCAGGTGACATTGTTGGGTAGTAGATGACTCTCCACCAATACCAGGAAAAGAAAGACAATAATAATTAAAACTGCAACAGACAGGAATAATGCCTGGTGAAGGGTTTGAAAATGATACAAATGGTTCCTTACATTTCTTTGACTTTGTGTTTGCAGCTTCCACATGTTAGCATCCTGACATGTGTAGTGGTGTGGAAGTCTCATCCTGCCTCTTCCAGATTTCATCATGACTATTATGTCATTATCTTTGTTATGTACAGCCAGGTTTTCATTATTCTATGCACTATGGGGAGAAAGATCAGGGAAGTTGAGGAGGCTGCCCTGATATACAGTGTTAAATGTAATGAAGTGCTCTTCTCTGGGCATCACCTCAGCACTGTGGCTGCCTTGTATCCCATGGTACTGTAGTGGGTTGCAGCTGGGCTGAAGAGTGAGGTGGGCTCATCGCCTAGACCCCAGGGAGACTTGGGCTGCCACTTGGTGGCAAGGGAGCATGTCTAAACATTACAAACATTGTTAGGAATGTTTTCTAGTGGTTTTCATAGTTTTGTTTTGGTTATTTTCACTTCTACAAAACATTTCCCTGAGTTTGGATGTCTTGTAGCCTCCCTATCATTGCTTCTGTGGCAGCTTGCCTGGATGTCTTGTAGCCTCCCTATCATTGCTTCTGTGGCAGCTTGCCTTAGTATTCATTGATCTTTGATTACATTCATAAAGGGGAATGGGAACGTTGTAAGGACTACACAGAGTAATCACACTAACATCATGCATCAATGAGAAAATCCTTAGGAGCCGTGATGAGGATTCGAACCTATGCAGTGGGTATTCCCACACACCTGCTCCAGACAAATATGTCGTGGCTTAGTTGTCTGGGGCATGTGTGTGGGAATACCCACTCTATAGGTTCGAATCCTCATCACGACTCCTATGGATTTTCTCCTTGTAAGGATTCTTGTCCCTAGTTGGCACTTTCCCCCCCAGATATCTGGCATTGCCTGGTGTAACAGTTAATAAGCTTGGGAGCTACTGAAGTGATGCCCAAGAAGGGGGTATATCATTGCATTCAACAGTATTAAGAATCTACTGAGTGGCTACTTGAAAAGAAGCTTTTCATTTGATCTACACTTAATAACTTAATTTGTTTAATTTTGAAATTTATTGACTTTTATCTCTGTTGTAGATAAGCAGATCAGGTTAGTATCCATTTTACTTTAGTCTAGAAACCATAACTGGCTGAGACTGTTTACATTATATGGAGAATTTTATTGTCAGAATCCAAATGTAAGGAGTCCACTGTACTATTATTATTATTATTATTATTATTATTATTATTATTATTATTATTTTCATCATTATTATTATTATTAATTATTATTATTATTTATTATTATTACTGTATTATTATTATTATTATTATTGTGCTTCATTTTGTTCTGGAAGAGGTGAATGGTAGTAAATATATTGTGGGCTGAGAATGCATTTAACACCTGCTTTAGGAGTCGTTGGAATACCTCGCTAAACTCTCAGTCCAACAGACGATACGTACGCTGGTTTGGTGATGAGCACACATCAGCGCAGGAGATGGCTGCGTACGCCCTTCACTACTATAAGAAATGGGAGGATGATATTGAGGCCTGGCAGAATCCCATCCTCCAGGACAAGTAAGCCTTATGTTCTCCATGTGTGTAATTACCTAAGTGTAATTGCCTAAGTGTAGTTACAGGATGAGAGCTACGCTCGTGGTGTCCCGTCTTCCCAGCACTCTTTATCATATAACGCTTTGAAACTACTGACAGTTTTGGCCTCTACCACCTTCTCACCTAACTTGTTCTAACCGTCTACCACTGTTTGCGAAAGTGAATTTTCTTATATTTCTTCGGCTGTGTGTGTGTGTGTGTGTGTAATTACCTAAGTGTAATTACCTAAGTGTAGTTACAGGATGAGAGCTACGCTCGTGGTGTCCCGTCTTCCCAGCACTCTTTGTCATATAACGCTTTGAAACTACTGACGGTCTTGGCCTCCACCACCTTCTCACTTAACTTGTTCCAACCGTCTACCACTCTATTTGCGAAGGTGAATTTTCTTATATTTCTTCGGCATCTGTGTTTAGCTAGTTTAAATCTATGACCTCTTGTTCTTGAAGTTCCAGGTCTCAGGAAGTCTTCCCTGTCGATTTTATCAATTCCTGTTACTATTTTGTACGTAGTGATCATATCACCTCTTTTTCTTCTGTCTTCTAGTTTTGGCATATTTAATGCTTCTAACCTCTCCTCGTAGCTCTTGCCCTTCAGTTCTGGGAGCCACTTAGTAGCATGTCTTTGCACCTTTTCCAGTTTGTTGATGTGCTTCTTAAGATATGGGCACCACACAACAGCTGCATATTCTAGCTTTGGCCTAACAAAAGTCATGAACAATTTCTTTAGTATATCGCCATCCATGTATTTAAATGCAATTCTGAAGTTAGAAAGCATTGCATAGGCTCCTTGCACAATATTCTTTATGTGGTCCTCAGGTGATAGTTTTCTATCCAGAACCACTCCTAGATCTCTTTCTTTATCAGAATTCTTTAAAGATTTCTCACATAATATATAGGTTGTGTGGGGTCTATGTTCTCCTATTCCACATTCCATAACATGACATTTATTAACATTAAATTCCATTTGCCAAGTGGTGCTCCATATACTTATTTTGTCCAGGTCTTCTTGAAGGGCATGACAATCATCTAAATTTCTTATCCTTCCTATTATCTTAGCATCATCAGCAAACATGTTCATATAATTCTGTATACCAACTGGTAGATCATTTATGTACACAATAAACATCACTGGTGCAAGAACTGAACCCTGTGGTACTCCACTTGTGACATTTCTCCATTCTGATACATTGCCTCTGATTACTGCCCTCATTTTTCTATCAGTCAGAAAATTTTTCATCCATGATAGAAGCTTACCTGTCACCCCTCCAATATTTTCCAGTTTCCAGAACAACCTCTTATGTGGAACTCTGTCGAAAGCCTTTTTTAGGTCCAGATAGATGCAGTCAACCCAACCATCTCTTTCCTGTAATATCTCTGTGGCTCGATCATAGAAATTGAGTAAATTCGATACACAGGATCTTCCAGATCGAAAACCATACTGTCTGTCTGATATTATATCATTTCTCTCCAGGTGTTCTACCCATTTAGTTTTGATTAGCTTTTCCAATACTTTCACTATTACACTTGTCAACTGCGTACACACGTAATTACCTAAGTGTAGTTACAGGATGAGAGCTACGCTCGTGGTGTCCCGTCTTCCCAGCACTCTTTGTCATATAACGCTTTGAAACTACTGACGGTCTTGGCCTCCACCACCTTCTCACTTAACTTGTTCCAACCGTCTACCACTCTATTTGCGAAGGTGAATTTTCTTATATTTCTTCGGCATCTGTGTTTAGCTAGTTTAAATCTATGGCCTCTTGTTCTTGAAGTTCCAGGTCTCAGGAAGTCTTCCCTGTCGATTTTATCAATTCCTGTTACTATTTTGTACGTAGTGATCATATCACCTCTTTTTCTTCTGTCTTCTAGTTTTGGCATATTTAATGCTTCTAACCTCTCCTCGTAGCTCTTGCCCTTCAGTTCTGGGAGCCACTTAGTAGCATGTCTTTGCACCTTTTCCAGTTTGTTGATGTGCTTCTTAAGATATGGGCACCACACAACAGCTGCATATTCTAGCTTTGGCCTAACAAAAGTCATGAACAATTTCTTTAGTATATCACCATCCATGTATTTAAATGCAATTCTGAAGTTAGAAAGCATTGCATAGGCTCCTTGCACAATATTCTTAATGTGGTCCTCAGGTGATAGTTTTCTATCTAGAACCACTCCTAGATCTCTTTCTTTATCAGAATTCTTTAAAGATTTCTCACATAATATATAGGTTGTGTGGGGTCTATGTTCTCCTATTCCACATTCCATAACATGACATTTATTAACATTAAATTCCATTTGCCAAGTGGTGCTCCATATACTTATTTTGTCCAGGTCTTCTTGAAGGGCATGACAATCATCTAAATTTCTTATCCTTCCTATTATCTTAGCATCATCAGCAAACATGTTCATATAATTCTGTATACCAACTGGTAGATCATTTATGTACACAATAAACATCACTGGTGCAAGAACTGAACCCTGTGGTACTCCACTTGTGACATTTCTCCATTCTGATACATTGCCTCTGATTACTGCCCTCATTTTTCTATCAGTCAGAAAATTTTTCATCCATGATAGAAGCTTACCTGTCACCCCTCCAATATTTTCCAGTTTCCAGAACAACCTCTTATGTGGAACTCTGTCGAAAGCCTTTTTTAGGTCCAGATAGATGCAGTCAACCCAACCATCTCTTTCCTGTAATATCTCTGTGGCTCGATCATAGAAATTGAGTAAATTCGATACACAGGATCTTCCAGATCGAAAACCATACTGTCTGTCTGATATTATATCATTTCTCTCCAGGTGTTCTACCCATTTAGTTTTGATTAGCTTTTCCAATACTTTCACTATTACACTTGTCAACTGCGTACACACGTGTGTGTGTGTGTGTGTGTGTGTGTGTGTGTGTGTGTGTGTGTGTGTACTCACCTAATTGTACTCACCTAATTGTGCTTGCGGGGGTTGAGCTCTGGCTCTTTGGTCCCGCCTCTCAACCGTCAATCAACTGGTGTACAGATTCCTGAGTGTGTGTGTGTGTGTGTGTGTGTCTGTGTCTGTGTCTGTGTCTGTGTCTGTGTCTGTGTCTGTGTGTGTGTGTGTATTATCAATGTGGAGTGTATATGTATGTTGTATCTAATAGGCCAAGAAGCCTAACAAGCTGAATTTTCCCGAAATAATATATTTTCACAATTTTATTCCTGTGGAATGGTTAGGCTTTGCATTATATTATATATGATTTGATTTTTTTTTTATTTTGGGTTAACTAACAGAAATTTGATTAAACTTAGCCTAATCCATCTAACTTAATCAAACCTAACCTATCCTAACCTAGCATAATTAAGCCAATAATTCATGATCTTAATGTAATATAATAATATTATATATAATAATACTATAATATAATATATAATATAATAATACCTGTAGAAATAACTAAGTTAGCCCATATTAAAACTAATTTTTGTTTTAAACCCGCCTGGGTTTTCTGGGGGGAGCCCCGTCGGCTCCCCGGAGCTATACCAGCTGATAAGCTAATGTTAGACTTTGGCATCAGTCATGTGTATGGAGTTCTAGGACCTACCGGGGACCACGGCCAGAACCTGGCCCCCTCAGAAAGGCAAGGGGAGCAATGGCCTATAGAAACCCCCGTGTGGTTGGATGGCTATGTCTGACATCGACCGGGTCAAGCATCCAGAAAGGTAAGCATTCCAAAACAATCCCCTATTCTGGTTAAAATTGCTACCAAAAGCCAAACTAGTGGATAGAACTCCCCAACAAAAAACAAGCGAACTAGTATGACGTCACATGTCACCGCGCCGCTGTCTGCGCAGCTCCCCCCTCCCCGGGAGGGGGAACGGGGAGCCCCAGACCTCCCACGCCGGCTATCCACCCATCAGTTCTTCGGCTGATGCTATAGGCACCGGTTGTGTGCTCCGGCTCCAATAGTTATTTCAGCACTGTACTTAGAGTGTGGTGTCTGTCTTCTAGGTGGTGCGTGAGCCGGGTGTGTGTCTCCAGTACTCGGGCTGCATGCGCCTAGGGTTCCCTTCCCTAGGTGCCCTGTAAGTACTGCCCTTGGGGCTTGGGGCCACCTTCCACAAGTTCCTTGGGTTCTGCCCCCTGCTAGGCGTTTACTGCTTAGTTTTCGGCCGCTCTTTGTGTGCTCGGGTGTTCTGTCTCCCTTGTTCGCCTTAGGGTAAGGGGCAGTTTTGCACTGGCAGGGCGCAGGGTGCTGTGCAGCCTGTTTTCACCTATATGGCGGCCGGCTCTGTTCCGCCTGAGTACGCTGTCCTCTTGCGGGGTTTTTCTTTTTCTTTTTGTTCATCTACCTGGTGGGGGATCTGCCTTCGTTCTTGCCCCCCCCCCTGTGTCCCTTGTGTTCTGAGTATTATTCTGGTGGTTTCCCCTGCTAGGTCCCCATGAGTGTACATGTCCCGGGGGTTCAGCTCTTAGAAAGTTGTTTGGTAGCTTTGGGCACCGGTTAGCAGTACCCTGCCTGGGATTACCTGAGCGCGAGTCCTATTATTGTAACATGGGGGGGGAGGATTAGGAAAGTTAAGTAAAGCAAAGTAAAGGTAGAAGGAGGGGAGGAGGAAAGAGGGATGAAGGATGGGTGGATAGAACATGGGGGAGGTTGAGGTAGGAACTGAGGTAGAGAGAGGTGAGCGGGAATAGAAAACGGGGAGCGAACGGGAAGAGGGGAAGCAGGAGGGAGAAAAGGGAGGAGGAGGAGGAGTAGAGTGATGTAAGAGGAGAAATAATAGAGAGTAGGGAGAGTTGACTGACTGTTGTTCTATCTATGATGTTATTATTCTAAGATGTTATACAGTACTGATATTAAATTTACTTTACATATTCTAATATATAAGCTGCCACCACCTGTCTCATTCACAAACTAAATCTTAATTCCACTTAAAAAATGCAACAGGAACACTGCTTAATTTCTCACTTGTTCATCTAGTTATTTCTCTAGCCTTAACTCTTACTTGAGGGGGACATTGATTCAAAAAGAGGACTGAACAAAAGTCAAGCTTGTTATTCTACACACAGACATTTATTGAATTTAATTATTTCAAATTATTTAAATTTCCATAGTTCTTACTATTTAACATTTTGACGTCCTATTATTTTAACACTATATTGACCAAATTAAAAGGGGGGGGGGGATCACCCACTCCATACACGCCCACACCATTCATGGCTAAATGGTTCAGACTCCACATGCTTGTCACCACTAAGACACACTTCTAGTTAAAGACAATGCATAACTGAACTCTCACCTTCTCAACTCAGATGGATGCACCCTGAGGGTGCCTGGGGTGTCACCCGTCAGGGTGGGAAGACTGGCTGGTCACCTTCTCTCTGTGCAAGGTGGTCACTAACTGCTCAAAACACCTCGCTGGCCGTGCCCGGGGTGGGTACTCTCGCAAGCCAGTACAACGGGCTCCTTGTTAAATAGTACTGCTGACAGCACAAGCTGGGCTGGCTCGCTCTTCCACTACCATCTTGCTCCTCACAATTACCCACACACACACACCCACAATTACAACTCACAATTATACATGAAAGAGTGCAAAATACTTGCACTGTTACATTATAGTAAACGCTTGGGACCCTGGGAAACCCCTGGGGGTGCGTGGGTCCGATGGATGTGACCCCGGAGTCCCCCCTCGCTTCCAGTGAGTTTGAGGGTTGCTCTCGCCCCTTGCCTCGGGATGACTTTTTGTTTTGCCTCCGTCTGCTGCCTGTGGGGTCGGTGACACCTTCGACCCGGAGTCCTGTGAGTTTTGTTGCTCATTGTAGCACGGTTACCCAGTTGTGTGCTGACTAAGCGGGTGCAGGCAGCAGGGGCGTTGCACGTTGAGCTTTGGTGGTGGCAACGCTCTCGTTTGTTTGTTCCCCGGTTCGTTTGCTCCTCAATACCGTTTTGGTTCGTGTTGGGACTTGGGGGTGTTGGTTGCTTTGGTTCCTTCCACGCCCTCTTGTCTTTCACCTGGATTCCCCCCTTCCTAGCTCCATTCGGTTCCTTACCGTCTGTGGGTTCGGGGTCGGGGTGGGGTTCCATCTTCTTTTTGCCAACTTGGGCTTCTTTGGTTGTCGCACCCGAGATCTTCCTGCGGCTTCGCCTTTTCCTGGGCTTGGATGAGCCTTGTCGGGGCTGATTACGTTCTGCCTCGCGTGTCTCGCCTCCGGTTGGTGGTCTGGTGGCTTCGTTGTTGGTGTCCCACCTGCGTGTTTCTTCTTGGTGGCTGTATGGGGTATTTTGGCGGTCCTTCCTTTTCCTCCTGTTCCTTCTTAGGTGGCTGTGGTTGTTAGTGTCGGCTTGGTTTTTCTGGTGGGGGTTGGGGGCCGTTGTCTTACCCCCATACTGTTGCTTCGCTTCGTGTGGCGCTGGCGAAGCCGCTTCGGCTTGCTTTCGGTCTTGGTGTTGCTTCTGCACCGTTAGTAAGCTGTCTTGTGCGTTGTTTCACCACCTCTGTTTGTGCGCTGCTTGTACCGTCCTGGTCTCTGGTCAGCGTGCTCTGTCTTCTCCTCGGTTGGTGGTGCCCCTTCGGTTCAGGTTTGTTTTTCATCGGCTCTTTTTTCCTGTTGGCATTTGCCTCTGGGGGGTCAGGTCACTGGGCTTCTTGCTCTCCTCCGCAGGGGTTTCTGCTCCTTCGGTCTTGGCGTTTTGGTTGTTCGGTGGCAGCCGTCTCCATCTTTTCTGGCACGGGATGGAGCTGCTGTGTTCCGGAGGGGTCCTTGGTTTGTTGGTGCTTGGTTGGTCGGGCCGGGGGTGTGTCGTGTTTTGTGTTCGGTGGCAGCCCTCCTCTGTTATTTGCATGCCGCGGCCTTTATGTCCGGGGCGCGCTTTGAGTTGATCCGGTTCTGTTCTTTCCTGTTCGCGTGTGAAGGTATCCCGGGTTGTCCGCCGTGTTATTGTGGCTAGATTGCCTGTGTTCTTTCCTCATGCCTTTGGCATTCATTCGTGGCTTCACTGCTCTTGCTACCATTTTGGCGGCGTGTCCTTGCTGCCATTCGGGCATGGATCTTTTGGCGTTCGTACAGGGGCCTTGCTGCTCGTTGTCTCGTGTTGTTCCCGGGCCCTTTTGGGGCTGTGTCGCCTTGGGTTGGCGTTTGCTGCTGGTTGTCTCGCTTCCATTGAGGAGTGTGTGGTGTCCGCCTCCCAGTTCTGTCCCTTTGACCTTCCTCTGTGGGTAGTTAGCTCCGGGGAGCCGACGGGGCTCCCCCCAGAAAACCAGCGTTGAATGTAATGAAACGCCATTTTCTGTGTGAGACCCGGAGGCTCCCCGGCAACCCTCCCTCCCTCCAGTCGGCGGTTTTTCATGTGTTTTGACATCCAGCTTCAGAACTGATGGGTGGATAGCCAGCGTGAGAGGCCTGGGGCACCCCCTTCCCCCTCCTGGGGAGGGGGGAGCTGCGCAGACAGCGGCGCGGTGACGTGTGACGTCATAATAGTTTGCTTGTTTTCTGTTGGGGAGTTCTATCCACTAGTTTGGCTTTTGGTAGCAATTTTAACCAGAATAGGGGTTTGTCTTGGAATGCTTACCTTTCTGGATGCTTGACCCGGTCGATGGCAGACATAGAATGCTTCCAACCACACTGGGGTTTCTATAGGCCATTGCTCCCCTTGCCTCTCTGAGGGGGCCAGGTTCTGGCTGTGGTCCCTGGTAGGTCCTAGAACTCCATACACATGACTGATGCCAAAGTCTGACATTAGCTTATCAGCTGGTATAGCTCCGGGGAGCATCCGGGTCTCACCCAGAAAATGGCATTTCATTACATTCAATGCTGGTTTTTTACACTGAAAAAACTAGGCCTGGGCAGGTAAGTGGGGTGGCTACCACACCAACCCTGATATATACTGATTAGTAAATATAGTGTTGAACTGTTGAACCTGGCTTGAGTCAAGAGGACAACCTCTGTGCGAGTGCTTCTATGAATGAGAATTTCAGTCGACTTTTTAAAGTCTAAATCAGAATTAACCACTGTGGTTGCAAAGTGAGCTCTCATTGGCTTGTTTGGAACCACTGAAGGCCGGGAAACACGTCGCATTCTGGTCTCGGGCTGGGTTCAACCTGAGGATTCACCCCAGGGCAGATTATGGACATTGTACTTCACTCTGCAAGCCAGGGATATCATGTGTGACAATTTTATCTTCTCTTGTTCATCATTTTTTAAAGTATCTTTGTAACACATGACAAGTCTGTACATAAAACATTGAAGCTGGGAGGACTACCATTTGAAACTAAGTTGGTCACTTTGGCAATTAAATGCTGGTAGACAGGTTGACTATGCACTACAGTGCTGCTCATTTACATACTTCCACATAAGCGATGTATGTCTTAAGCTAGCTTTGTCTATACTGCTTTCCTATTTTCTCTTCACTTGTTAACTATAAATTAAACATTATGTTCCCATTATTGATGTAGCACTTGCAGAAACTCTCACTACATGACGTACCAGCTCTTATCCTCACATTTTCACTCATTTGGTAAATTTGTGTTTTTCAGAGATTTACCAGACTGGTTTAAGAGTGCTGTGTTCAATGAGCTGTACTTCATATCAGATGGTGGATCAGTCTGGCTAGAGATGCCACAGCCTGTAAATACTTCATTGCCTTCATATGATTCACGGTGAGTTAGACTGTAGACGAGTCGCTTACAAAGAAAAATTGTTCTTTCTATTAGCTCATTGCACAGAATTATTCCTAAGGCAAGATCACTAAATACCCCATTGTATTAGTCACTGATTGTAAGGAGAGGAATGGCATTTCACTCCAGTGCAGCAGTGATCATTTAAAACTCTATTGCTGGATGATTCTGGTGCTAGAAGTCCATTGGAGATGAGTTCAGCCCCAAATAACCATAGAAAGTAAACCTGTAAATACTCAAAACATTTCCAAACCATACTTAGCATCACAGGGATTACCAAGTAGTCTTCTGACCCAACTGCTAGTTTCCCAAACTAGCCGCTGCTTCTGACTGCTATCAGATGGCAGCACTCAAGCCCCCAGTGATGTCAAGTAATGCATAACAAACTCTTAGAGTTTTTATGAGTGAACTTTCTGCAGTGACTCTAGGTTAGAAATGAGCTTTACTCCAGTGAATTGCTAGTATCAATATGACTTGAGAGAATGGTATGAAAAGATCCCTGTTGCACCACCGCACCAACACTGCAACTGTTGCAACAATGCAATTTCCTATCACCCTTTCCTGACACTTGTTATTCTGTCCAATTGGACATTGAGCAGTATTGCCTGAGGGAACATCTGGGTGTCTTGAATAGAAAGTACTGTAGTTGTGCAGATGCTTTTCAAGTCACAATAACGGCAGAAAACAAATAGCCAAACCAACCCATATGAAATAAAATGTCAGTGATGACATTTAGGTCCGTTGTGCACCAATATCGAGACAAAACGGTTTAAACTTGGTAAGGGCCCAGGATGGACCGAAACACTATCACCTTTATTTTATTTCATAATGTATGGGCTGGGATATTAGTGTTTCTTATTCACTCAAATCTGATATTCATATTTTAAATTAGATGTTTTATTAAATATTTTAAAATCTTTCATAAAGTATGGCTCATCTCCACAGGCCTGAATTTGGTCGATTTGCATACCTGGAAAGTCACGAGTATCGCATGTACAATACATATGATGTACACTTTTATGCATCGTGGGCGTTGGTGATGCTCTGGCCTGAACTGCAGAAGTCACTGCAGTATGACATGGCCCAGTGGACGATATCGGCCGACCTCACGCCACGCACTCATCTTTTTCGTGGAAATAAAGGTGTCAGAAAGTTGGCAAATGCTGTTCCTCATGATGCTGGTGATCCTGGTGAGTAAACATTCTTATTGAGACATGGATGCTGTAGGTGTTATCACACTAAAAGCCAGCTGGCATGTAGTGATTATCTTTCTGTGCTACTGTTTAAAAATCTTCACTTAATTTTTACCTGTATTGAACACGTGCTGGTCATCTCAATGGTGGTCCACTGTCAACTATCATCTTTTCCAGGATTAATAGACACTGTTAGGTTACGGAATGATTAATTTGACTTGTTTTATGTAGGTTATTGTAATAATAATAATAATAATAGTACTACTAATAATTTATTTCTAAGACACAGAGGCTAATATTAGAGTGGTTACTTTTGTTGAGTGGTTAAATGTGGATTTTCAAATACAGTAGACAAAATACAGTATTTGTTTTATAAAGTCAATAAATATGCTCAGTGTTTCAGGTATGGCTTATTGAGTTGATTGTTTTTTAGATTTATTGTAGTAATACTTAATAGATTAATAACAAGAATCTATATGCATCTGAATAACACACACGTGGAAACACGCACAAACTCATAGTTGTCATCCTGTAACTACACTTGGGTAATTACTCTTGGGTAACACACATGAACAACTTTTTCACGCTAGTGGAAAGTATTTTTTAGTGATAATTATAAGTACAGTATATTTCTATATATTTTGCTCTCAGTGGGCAGTGATGGCCACGAAAATCTCTAGTGTTTCAAGAGTGACCCTCGAGTTCCTGTGCCCCGAGGTTGTTGAGGTGGAGGTGCCACTGAGGCGCCACCCAGAAAGTAGAGTTTCATTACGCTCAGTGTGCAGATGAAGAGTCACAATAACGTGGCTGAAATATGTTGACCAAATCGATTTGATTTGGACTTGATTTCAATCGACTTGAGAAAGGTCCAGGACAGACCGAAACGTGGTCGTCCCTTCACCTTGTAGTGTGTGGTCTGGTCAACATACTTTAGCCACGTTATTGTGACTCATCGCCTGCATATGTTGACCAAAGCACAAACTAGAAAGTCAAGGGACGACGACATTTCGGTCCGTCCTAGACCATTCTCAAGTCGAAACGTCGTCATCCCTTCACTTTCTAGTGTGTGGTTTGGTCAACATTACACTCCGCGCTCTTTATGCAACTGTTATTTCTTTAGGCTTTGATCCTAACGTATGGCTTCAATATTTTCTTGTAGCTATATCACGTATTTGTGATTTCTTTGGGAAATTTTGTTTGCATGCTTCTATATCTTCCCTAATTATCTTTCAGAGGATGAGCCATTTGTGCGAGTTAATGCCTACCAGATACATGACACCAGCTTTTGGAAGGATCTAAATCTTAAGTTTGTTTTGCAGGTAAGACCACTTGCTAAGCAGTCCATTCATTCTCTGAATTGATCACTTTGTACAAAAAAGTGCAACTATTTTGCCAAATTAGAAATGTATGAACCCGAGCATCCTACCTAACCTGTTGAGGCCGATGCATAGAAAAGGTTAATATTGCAGTGCTTTGAATTTGACTAACACTTGGCAATTTTAACAGGTTGTTAATTGCGTTAAGAATATGATGTATCGGGTGAGAGAACAGGTTGTACTTAGATGCTTCAGTATGATAAACAGCTGCCTATCATGTCATTGGTGTTGAAGCCACAGTACAGATTACAGAATAACATTAGTATGTTTTAACATTGATCACTCCATAAGTATTTCAATAGTTGGTATTATTTTCTTTCCATTGCAGTGTATTTTACTGAAAAAAAATATTTCAGGTTTTCAGAGATTACAGTTTCTTTAAAGACCAGGATTACATAACACACATGTGGCCTGTATGCCGAGCCGTGATGGATCGCTGCTTTACCTATGATCGAGACGGTGACGGGCTAATTGAAAATGAAGGGGAAGCCGATCAAACATATGATTCTTGGATCATGCATGGGCCTTCCGCTTACTGTTCCTCACTATGGGTGGCAGCTTTGGCTGTCATGGTGGAGATGGCTGTTAAACTTAATGATGAATCTGAGGAGATAAAGTTTGCCGAAGCTCTTGCTAAAGCCAAATTAACACTCCAGGAAAAGCTATGGAATGGTATGTATACTCTGTATCGTATTATATATTTTATACAACAGATGAAACAAATTCTCTCTTTTGCTCACTGTTGCACACACACTCTTGCACTCTCCCTCCCTCTCCTTGTTGACATGTTAAATAAACATGTTCCAAATGTGGGTCAACCTACGTGTGGTAATTGCTGATGGAGGTAATGTTCTAAGAGAATGGCACGACCAGCATGCGGCTGTTGATGGCAGAGCACCTTGTGTTGCAGTTGCTGACGTCTGGTTGCCTATGAAGTTGGGCCAGGTCGGGAATTTTGAGAAAATTGACCTTGTACATAACGATAAGCTCCTCAACATCTCTCTGGTGTTGAAGGCTCTGATGTACTTTCCAGTCCAACCAGAATGAGTCAAGACTGGAGTTTAGTCTTCTTGTACAGTTCTCTACCTTGTTCATATAAGGTTTTGCAACCCATGATATCAAGAAGGCGAGAAATGTGCCACAGGACTGTAAGTTTTTTGGCCAACTTGCATGTCGGGTTTAACATGTGGCTTTTCATGTTCATTGAAGAGTCATACTTTTACCCTAAGATGTCAGCTGGATCACTGAGCTGCTGTTAGGGTTATCCCAGGGAGGGTTCGGAGTGGGAAGGTTCAATGTAATGTGTGGTATGTAATGTCTAGCTTTTTATTTGTTTGTTAATCTAAATGTTGTTGTCTTGTTTGTTAGTTATATTCTTGTCAAGTAAACTCGGGAACCACAGAGGGTCCCTCCAAGAATTAAAACTCTGAATGTAATGAAACTCCCTTTGTTGGTGGGTCTCCAGTAGCTTCTCATCCTGTTTGCTTATCACCTGTGGATTTGTGGGATTTTGCATAGGGTAAGTGAAGGAGCCAGCTGCTTGAGACCCCAGATGAACTGGGCTGCCATCTTAGGGTAAGTGAAGGGCAAGCTGATTCAACCTGGGCTGCCATCTGGTGACAATCGGGCACATCAGGGTTAGGGTATTTACCCTGCAGCAAGGATTCTTTGCCTTGTTTACCTAGACGTCCCCAGTTTTCTTCAGACAGTTGCCCATTTTCTGTGCCTATGATTTTATGGGAGGTTAAAAAACAATTTTAGTTAGTCTTTAATCCACAAAGCTCACCTATGCCTCCTATTTTTTTTCCTGTGGGAAGTTATTCAGAATGCCAAAGCCCTCGCCTGTCATTTTTCACTTCCCCTTTATTGATGGTTGTTATGGATTTGGAGTCGAGAGGATTCAATAGTGCCAGGTTGTTTCTTGTTGCTACATTTATCAGCTGGGTAGTTGCCTCTGCTCAGTTGCTGTGACTGTTAACAGTCCCAGTGGGCTGTATCACTCATAATGTGCTTTGCACATTAGTAAGTCTCATCTATTTGCCATCCCTTTTTCTGGGTGTGCGCTTTTTGTCACTATTTAGGACAAGTCTTGAAGCGCCTGCTCCATGTCATGCGTCCTGTTCATGTCGCATGATACCCGTCCTGTTGGGAAGAGTATCCCAGTCTTCTAAGATGAGTAATCCAGCCTGCTGCGGGTGAGTACCCCGGCCTACCAAGATAGGTGCTGCAGCCTGGCAAGATGAGTTTCTCAGCCCACAGGGTTGAGTGCCTCAGCCCAGCAGGTCGTGTGCCTCAGCCCACAGGGTTGAGTGCCTCAGCCCAGCAGGTCGTGTGCCTCAGCCCACAGGGTTGAGTGCCTCAACCCAGCAGGTCGTGTGCCTCAGCCCAGCAGGTCGTGTGCCTCAGCCCAGCAGGTCGTGTGCCTCAGCCCAGCAGGTCGTGTGCCTCAGCCCAGCAGGTCGTGTGCCTCAGCCCAGCAGGTCGTGTGCCTCAGCCCAGCAGGTCGTGTGCCTCAGCCCAGCAGGTCATGTGCCTCAGCCCAGCAGGTCGTGTGCCTCAGCCCAGCAGGTCATGTGCCTCAGCCCAGCAGGTCGTGTGCCTCAGCCCACAGGGTTGAGTGTCTCAGCCCAGCAGGTCGTGTGCCTCAGCCCACAGGGTTGAGTGTCTCAGCCCAGCAGGTCGTGTGCCTCAGCCCACAGGGTTGAGTGCCCCAGCCCACAGGGTTGAGTGCCCTGGCACATTAACTTGAATGTCTTATCAACCTTGACTGATTAGGATTTTGCTTTAGGAAGCAACCATGTGGGATAGCTTTAAAATGCTGTTAAATTGTACAGAAAATAACATAAATACAAATGAATATATTATAATCTATTGCCACAGATTTTTCCCCCCAATGTTTTTCAGTTACATTGTATTAATAATTGTCCATTAAACTTGCAGGTAAATATTACAAGTTCGATTGCTGTGATGCAGCTCACAGTAAGAGCATCATGTCAGACCAGCTGGTAGGCCATTGGTACCTGTCTCTGTCCAATATTGGTGTCGAGGTCAGTACCCAAAAAGGTCATTATTGGCATGAAAATATTTTGAATTTTTATAATTTTGAAGTTGTAGCTCCTTAAAGATAAATACTTTTCTTGATGGCTTAATAGGCTACAATATACAACCTCTTTTGAAACTACATTATGTATTTCTACATGTCCAGTTCTGCTGTTTTTAGCAGTTTATGAAAATTGTATACTTAAGTAAAAACATGATCTTTTATGTCCACAACAGTAAATTTGTGTATGTTTGACAAATAGTTTCAATGAGTACTATAATTTTTGGGTTATAGGTTGAATATGATGTAATAGACCAGACTGATGCCTCTCTTCTCTAGGTAACAGACTTGACTTTAAATGACCTTAACGTCACTTACTCTGTCTTAACTGGTCGTTAGTTAACGGTTATGGTGTTCACCGTTGTTCCCTACTGTAACCTGAGCCCAGTGCTACAGGTACAACTTGGTGATTGACAACCAAATGCCACATGCGCTAGGAAATTCTGATGCCACGGTTACCAGTACACACAGTCCATACCTAGTTAAACCTAGTCCATACCTAGTTAAACACAAGATGAAGTTAGAGAAGATTCAGAGGTATGCCACCAGACTAGTTCCAGAACTGAGTGGAATGAGTTACGAGGAAAGGCTAAGGGAGCTGAACCTCACAACCCTGGAAAGCAGACGAGTAAGCGGAGACATGATAACCACCTACAAAATTCTCAGGGGAATTGACAGGGTGGACAAAGACAAACTCTTTAGTGCGGGTGGAACACGAACAAGGGGACACAGGTGGAAACTTAGTACCCAGATGAGCCACAGAGACGTTAGAAAGAATTTTTTCAGTGTCAGGGTAGTTAACAAATGGAATGCATTAAGTAGTGTTGTGGTGGAGGCTGACTCCATACACAGTTTCAGATGTAGATATGATAGAGCCCAATAGGCTCAGGAATCTGTACACCAGTTGATTGACAGTTGAGAGGCGGGACCAAAGAGCCAGAGCTCAACCCCCACAAACACAACTAGGCGAGTACACAAAACCTGGGTTATACCCAAAGCTTATTATAGAGACGTTAAACACCTGCCACCACCTTCCCTATTAACCATGTAATTAAACTAAGTAACTGCAGGGAAGGACCAGTCAATAGCCGTAGGAATACCAAGAATGTGTATCCCCATTTAAATCGAAAAGGAGAGAGTTGAATTTACTTTAAATGCTGCTTAAATCAGACAAGGAAGAATATATTTAAAATATGCGAGTGCTTAGAAGGTCCACAGGAAGCTTATAAAACCATAAACTAGGATCTTAAAAATCATAAATAATAATTGGGGAAAATTGGCTCAACACCATAAAATTCAATAAAATCGTTTATTACCCCCAAATATATAAATAAACTGCAAATTCCTAAACTAATAATTTCTAAAGTTTATAATTAACTAAAAGGTGCAAAGACATGCAACTAAATGGCTCCTACCTAGAACTGAAAAAGCTACAAGGAGAGGTTAGATGTGTTAAATATAACGAAGATGAAAGAAAGAAGTGATATGATCACTATGTACAAAATAATAACAGGTATAGATAAAAGTGACAAAGAAGAATATTTTGAAAACTGCAACATCAAGAACAAGAGGACAGAGGTTCAAACTCAAGAAACAAAGCTGCTGGACAAAAATAAAGTTCACTTCTGCAAAGAGAGTGATAGATGGTTGTAACAAGTTAAGTGAGAAGGTGGTGGAAGCTGCCACCTACTGAATCATCAGTAGTTTCAGAGTGTCGTATGACAAAGAGTATGTTGAAGACTGGGCACCACTAGCATAGCTCTCATCCAGTAACTACACTTAGATAATTACTATACATTATGTACTGGGTACATAATGTACCCAGTACATTATGTGTACTGTTCATATATGGTAATACATTATGTACATTATGTATTACCATATATGAAAATTTAGAGCTTTCAAAACTTTTTCCTTTAGGTCTTTCAGCACGATTGTGTCAAATCAGTGCTGAAACTTCTCTATGAATATAATGTGCTGCAGTTCAATAATGGAGAAATGGGTGCAGTCAATGGTATGAACCCAGATGGTAGCATTGATCGCTACACGCTACAGAGTGAAGAAATGTGGGTGGGCGTCACTTATGGCTTGGCTGCAACAATGATCTTTGAGGTAAGCCAAAGTATACAACTTCTTTCTAAAAGAACTTAGTTTGATGATTAAGTTTCAGTATTATTGTCATCAAGTTTATCATCAGCATTATTATCCATGTGATTAACCCTTTGGCTATAACCTATGTACTTGAAAATACAAATAATTCACCATTGCTGTAAAAAAAAATCTAATTTGTTTTGAGTCATGGGACAGAACAAGTGTAGATGACTTTTATCTCTTGTTAGCAGGCTTACAGCTCTACTATCATACAGTTGATTTTATCCTTTGCCCCTCTAGTTTTCCCTGGAACACAATCTGCCAACCAGTTTACAACACGATTGAAACAAATAACCCAATTCCATTCTCCTGGACTGTATGGGTCTGGAACTGTGGACCCCATGCGTGTGAGGCCGTAGCACTATCAACACTAGTGCTGGGTTATTTTAAATAACCTTACCTTTAAATTTCTTACATAAATTTGTTAGACGTGCCCCATACTATGTATAGTTGGTGCTGTAGTGTAGTGGTCTACGTTCTTGGCTCACTATCGAGAATCTGGAGGTCAGCTGATGCCTGTTAACATAGCAGTAAATAGGAGGCCTAGGGAAACATCTATAATCCGGATAAGTTTCCTGTTCCCAATTATGAGAATTGTGTAAGTTTCAACCATGGTTTGTAAAGCTACTGATAAAGTAATATAAATAATTCTAGCCTTAAATAACCATTTAGGCTGTCCCATGAAATGCCATAGTGCTGTCGCTGTCCACCCCTGTCTGTCGCTGTCACTGTCCACCACTGTCTGTCACTGTCCACCCAGCTGTCAGGCGCCACCCGGGCGGTGGACAGCGCTTCGGATTCGTAGCTCTGAGGTTCCGGGTTTGATCCCCGGTGGAGGCGGAGACAAATGGGCAAAATGTTTCTTTCACCCTGATTCCCTTGTTACCTAGCAGTAAATAGGTACCTGGGAGTTAGACAGCTGCTACAGGCTGCTTCCTGGGGGGTGTGTAACAAAAAGGAGGCCTGGTCGAGGACTGGGCTGCGGGGATGCTAAGCCCCGAGATATCTCAAGATAACTTCAAGATAACCATACCCACACATATGAAGTGAAATGAAATAACATCATTGCGGTCTGTCCTGGACCCTAATGTCATAACCTTTTTTCAGCCACATTATTGTGACTAAATTTACAGTCTTGCATAAACACACTCTGTTCTCTTTTTATAGTAATGCACATATACAACATACTGTATACACTCCTCTCATGGACTTGTTTTTAACCTGGACTTGGGTTCATTAGGGCTGTCTAGTGAAACTGCAAACAAAAGTTGTTATTCTACCTCAGCTCATCTGAAGCCTACCTCTAAATTTTTTTTTTTTTGTGGTGAATGATCTTTATTTAAATCTAAATATAGTACAGTAACAGTCATATAAGAAACAGGATGAGCCAGTAGCCAACTGTGTGCCAGAGCCTACATGTGATCAGTTGACCTGATCTCCCGTGTATCAACCTGTTGTAGCGAACAAGTTCCAGATGCGAGTCAGCCTCAGAGTGAATGATCGCTGATGGAGTGATGTTCTTGAGAAAGGCAGTTCCAGCATGAGGTCTTGTACATAACAGTAAGTCCACCAACATCACAATGGTGATGGAGGCTTTGATATTCAGACCATTCCCACCAGACTTGGTCAAGACCAGAGATGAGCCTTCTTGCATGGTTCTCCACTTTGTCCAACATTCTGATAAATGATGGAGGGCAGGCAATCCAGGAGAGGGAGGGGTGCAACCTCAAGATGGGAGCGAACTTGTGCTTTTTAAAATGTTTTGCAGCCCCTGCTGTCAAGAAGGTGTGAGATGCACAGTAGGGAGTGTAAGTTTCCTGGCTTCCTTTCGGTTTAGGTTAAGCACATGGCTCTTCATTGTCATAGAAGAGTCAAATTTCATGCCCAATATGTCCATTTCATCTCTGAACTCTGTTTTTGCCACCCATTTGCAGGCATGGCTGATTTACAATGTGCAGTCTAGTTAATTTGCAGAATATTCAGTAAACTTAGTTAATGGTCTTATTATTTTAGGGTATGGTTGAAGAAGGATTTAAAACGGCTGAAGGAGTTTATCGCACAGTGTACGAGAAGATTGGCCTAGGTTTTGAAACTCCTGAAGCTTTGTATGGGGAGCGCAAATACAGAGCTATTGGATACATGCGCCCTCTGTCTATATGGTCCATGTATTATGCATACTGCCTGCAACAGAAAAAAAAGGCAACAGAAAACGAAGAGAAGGCCTCAAGAGGAAGCCCGTCCCCCATTCTGTCAGCCGGATGTACCAGGGATATGGCATTCGACTCGTCAAGTGATGCATCACAATGAATTGTTTGGGTGGTCTATAATAGTGTTTGATATTCAGTAACATATTTTAGATACTGAGCATGATGCATTGTGCATTACATATTGTGTGCTCATTGAGATATTATTCAGAGGGTAATAACTTATTGGACAATAATGAGTGAGAATTATAGAACAAGTGTTATTTAGTGTACAATGTGATGTGAAAGAGAAATAAGAACTAGTGTATTGCCAAAGACAATTTAGTTTTTCTCAAGTGTACCTCAGTTTTGGAGTGAAGTGTAAAGCTATTAAATGTTGGATGAATAGCCACTACACTGCCAATGCCAACTGTATACAAGCAGCTTTAATAAATTAGCACTTTACTCTATTTGTCATTTTTTACAGATTTCAAAACAGCCTTGGCATTATTTCATTGCCAAGTGTGTGTGTGTGTGTGTGTGTGTGTGTGTGTGTGTGTGTGTGTGTGTGTGTGTGTGTGTGTGTGTGTGTGTGTGTGTGTGTGTGTGTGTGTGTGTGTGTGTGTGTGTGTGTGTTAGATGTACAGGAGTCAACCTAAAGCTATATTTTTCAGCCAGGTTGTATAAAGAGCTCAAGATGGATAAAAACTTTAGATGAATTTATGTAAATATGATGTGCATTATTTATAGCCTCCAGTTATAAATATTTAATTATTGTTATTAGGTATTCCTTAAACTCTTAAAGGGATACATAATAACCACTCTTGAGCCACTGTAGACGTCTGCATTTATACAAGAATGATGTTAAACTCTTGAGGTTCATTACACACACAGATCACATTAACGTGATGCATCAAATGAACAAATCCACAAGGGCCGTGACGAGGATTCGAACCTGCGTCTGGGAGCATCCCAGACACTGCCTTAATCGACTGAGCTATGACAGGGTTAAAAGAGTTAAAACCGAAGTTCTACTGAACTTACTGGATCCCGTAGCCTCTCCGAGGCACAAACCCTGTCGTAGCTCAGTCGATTAAGGCAGTGTCTGGGATGCTCCCAGATGCAGGTTCGAATCCTCGTAACGGCCGTTGTGGATTTGTTCTCTTGAGGTTCATCTTTGACACCCACCTCTTTTGGTTGTTGCATGCCCGGTACCTATAGACTCAATGTTGACCAAACCACACACTAAAAAGTGGAGAGACGACAACTTTTTGGTCCGTCCTGGACCATTCTCAAGTCAATTGAGTGGACCCTTCCACTTCCACTAGGGCACTTCCTAGCAAGTTCCTGCAGGAAGTGCCCTGACCAGGGGGCCTCGTAGCCTGGTGGATAGCGCGCAGGACTCGTAATTCTGTGGCGCGGGTTCGATTCCCGCACGAGGCAGAAACAAATGGGCAAAAGTTTCTTTCACCCTGAACGCCCCTGTTACCTAGCAGTAAATAGGTACCTGGGAGTTAGTCAGCTGTCACGGGCTGCTTCCTGGGGGTGGAGGCCTGGTCGAGGACCGGGCCGCGGGGACACTAAAGCCCCGAAAGCATCTCAAGATAACCTCAAGATCTCAAGATAACCCTTCACAATCAACTTGAGAATGGTCCAAGACGGACCAAAACGTCATCGTCTCTTCATTTTCTAGTGTGTGGTCTGGTCAACATATTTTAGCCACGTTATTGTGACTCCTTGTCTGTATATAGACTCGATGCTCCAAGGACCTTATGTTAATCCAAGTTTTGTTGCAAATCTACTGGGGCAGAAAGAGGTGAATGCTCCTACATTTGCACTCTTCACTAGTACTGTCTAAACTGAATAATAGATGCCCCGCTTATTTGTTGACTTTGTGATGACTGCTATCACTGGAGATAACTTTATCTTACCTTTTTTTTGATTTCTTACATTTCTCTTGATGGGTGGACTCTTGTCGGGTCTTTTATCATATTCTAGACACTGTAATTTAATATTAATACATTTGTACTTCATGATCATTTAATCATATAGAATAGAATTCCTTAAGACTGAAAGTAAAGCAGGAAATAATTTTTCATTATTTTAAGTCATTGTTATACCCAATTGTTATTTTGACTAAATAGTAGTAAACTTGAGTCGAGACATGACAATAGAATCTTTGAGGTTTTGTATATGAGAATGTGCCCACCTATGCAGGGGCCAGATTCACGAAGCAGTTATGCAAGCACTTACGAACCTGTACATCTTTTCTCAATTTTTGTCGGCTTTGTTTACAATTATTAAACAGTTAGCGAGCTCTGAAGCACCAGGAGGCTGTTTATAACAATAACAACAGTTGATTCGGAAGTTTTCATGCTTGTAAACTGTTTAATAAATGTAACCAAAGCCGTCAAAGATTGAGGAAAGATGTACACGTTCGTAAGTGCTTGCATAACTGCTTCGTGAATCTGGGCCCTGGGATATTACACCAGCTAACCAGTTAAAATTCAAACAGTTTTAAGTTGACAGGTTTTTGGTTTAGTCTTATTTTTATTACTTTTGTAATTTGTTTTGCTGAGCTATCGTCTGAGTGTTATTTAAAGTTCACAATCACTAATGAAAATGTACTATTGTTAATTGTGAATGTTACATGATTTTATTTATTCTAATACTATAAACTATTTTCATTTATTTTACATCCATGAGACTATTTATAAACTTATTGGATTTCTTATTCCAGAATAAACAAAGTTTTATTCACTTGGATCATTTTTAGATTCGAACCTGGGCCTGAAAAATGAGAGCACTAATCTAGCAAACACCTAACCCAAGGAGAGCTAAGAGTCTCTGTTGGGTACCAGTCAGACACTTCTAGTATCCATCGTTATTGTGTGTGCATCCATACTTGCGTGATACCTGCTTGATGAGGTTCCGGGAGTTCTTCTACACCCCGTGCCTGGCCCGAGGCCAGGCTTGACTCCATGGTGTGGTTGGTTGGATAATGGTTTTGTAGCCTGAGTTTCAATCTCTGATGATCCAAGTTAATCAAATGCTACTTCCCATTGTATTATGAATGGAAGCCTATATAAACCAAGTGTTTCAGCCAAGAGTTGACACTTGAAGTTTGTTACTTCATTGCAACATAGGAATGAGTTGATACTCAAAGTGTGCGATACTTTGTGGCAACGGAAATGTGTAAGTCTGTTAAGTCAAACTTTGTGTCAAGTTGTCAGCTGGCAAAAATGATTGATTATGGTGATGCTCATGAACTGATCAGTGCCTTGTAGTGTTAAACATAATTTCAAGTGCAGATTTGTCCTTGTATAATAGTTTCCTGTCAGTCACGTTTCTAGCTTTTTTTATATGCTTAAATTTAGGCTAGTAGTGTATCCAGGTTTATTTGGCCATTTGTTTAGGTATTGCAGTAGATGGTTGTCTTTCAGTAGTATGTCGTTCATCAGTATTACTTTTGAAATAGGTGTTAGTATTGATCACGGTGATACAGTAAGTGGTAGCATTGTCTTGGTGTGGAACTGAAAGTGGTATCCTTTAGCATGGGTACAGTATGCATCGTTACTGCAAACATATTTACAGTAATGTAGCAGATGACAGGTCTTTGTTAAAATTTAATGGACTTGACTGTATAACATCAGATGGTACTCTTTGTGTGTTTTAAAATTACGTATATGTAAGTCCTGTGATGTTATTTTAGCAGATTTTCCATAATTTGAATATTCCTTTAAAATCCTAATTTATTTTTGTGTGTGTGTGTGTGTGTAGATATTTATTTTTGGGTTAGATTATTTTATATTGTGATGTAAGAATAATTTGTTAATGTTCCATTGCAAACTTTACATGTTTAGTTCTGTACTGTAGATGATTTGACTACAGACTGAGGTTAAGGTACAGTACGCTTATAGAAGGAATGGTAAGTATGCAATATGGTAAACAGAATATCAGTTTGTTATAATGGTTACAATGGATGATGCATGTCATGATGACATCAAGGCCGGACGAACTGTAAGGCGAGACTGTAAACTGCAATTGGCAGAGATGTCAGGTTGTGGTAGGTGCCTATAGTCTAAGTCCATCTGGTGAGATGGCTCAGCTGAGGTGGTGATGCTCCTGGCTGCTTTGTGCTGATAGTGATCTGATGGTGTGTTATCATGCTCTTATATGTATCGGTTTGCCAGCTTCGCTCAGACCAGAGCTGCTTACAAATTGGTGTAGCAGTACTTGCTAGCAGTGCTGATGTAGCTGCTACAGTTTGGATCTGTATACTGTGTAATGACTTGGAATTAATTTCCTAAGACAAAAAGTCTTCCTTTTTGTATGATTTTGATGTGTGTGTGTGTGTGCACATGTGAATGTAGTTCATGGTTAAAAATAAATAAAAATTTTATACAAATTATTCTACAGTATTTGATGAGCTGTATTTTATTTTCCATTGTTCCTGGAATTTTCTGTAAACATATCTGAAAAATTCCAATTTAATATTTACAGAATGTGAAAGTGTTAATTGTTTAAAGGACATAAGTCAAGCTGTCTTGCTGTCATATTACTAGAACTAAAATCTAGCCCATGTTCACGGTGTGTATTCTTCAGCTACGAACACTTGATTATGATGCATATAGCAAAGTATGTACCGTATATAAGTTTAGATTGACATCTATTGTTTGTGTTTTATCCAAGTTCTTTTAAACTTTCTGGATAAAATGATGACTAAATTATCCTAAGTTGCCACATTGTTGTGACTCAAGGTGATTATTATATTTATACAAATATTTATCCATAAAATATACTGTGTATAATAGCATATTGTACATATGACTAAGTACATAGAGTAGTAGTACTTTTGTATGACATCCCTATAGTGTTGTACTAGATAACGACAATATTATCTATGCAACCATGAGGAGTAGACATTTTAAGCTCACTTTGAAAGTGTTTTGAGTAGAGCTTTAGCAAGATTCTACCTAATACCCAGCATCATGTTGGATAGCAAGAGTGAGAGTGTGTGTGTGTGTGTGTGTACTCACCTAATTGTGCTTGCGGGGGTTGAGCTTTGGCTCTTTGGTCCCGCCTCGTGTGTGTGTGTGTGTGTGTGTGTGTAAGTAGAAGTCTAAATGAGATTTTGTGTCAACATTTTCATGTAGATGGAAGAATAACACTTGCTTAACAGTACTTCATAATTAATCATGTGTTATTTAGGCACATTGTACAGATTATATTTTGTTCAATAGACAGATTTCTTCAGCATTAATTTAATTTCTGTTGTTGGTGACAGGAAGCCTGTGCTTAGGGTTATTAAGGTCCCTTAAAGTCAACTACTGACCTAACCCAGGATGCAACTCACAATAGTTGCTTAATGCAAGCATAACCTTCCACACAGATGATGATCAAAATAGTTATTTATGTTGATTGCTACAGTAGAGTCCATTAACTTCCACAGTGTGGTACATTTTGTGCCTTCCATGTTGGGAAAGAAATGGCGTCATGCATAAGAGATGGCATCATGCTCTTTGGTATCCAGAACATTTTTCATATCTTGTCAAATTTATTCTCGGCTTTAAGACAAAGCTGGTCATTGTAAAAATAATTAAATGTTAATGTAATTGTTTCTGAAATATCAGTCCCAACAAACATTCATTATCAGCTATTAAAAAAACAAGTACCCTAGATTTACTTTAAAGATAGAAATATGAACAAATTGCATAAATTAATAGTAACAGTTTAATTTCTGTTAACTAAAAATGAAAGGAATATTGTGTGTATATGTGTGTATGTATAGATGTATATATATTTTGTGCCTGATAACCAGAACTGCACTACTTGACCTAGTATGCAAGGTCCAATTTGCCTAACAGGCCAAATGATTTTTGTTAATTTCAAATATTTCTTTCCAGATTGGTTCTTTTCTTACAATAATCTATTATATTAGGAACATGAATTACTGACTTAGTTATGTTAAG